CCTTTTGGCATAAAAAACGCACCGGCTACATTCCAAAGGATGATTCACTCCCTTCTCCAAGACCTTGAGGGATGCGAGGCCTACATTGACGATGTGATCATATACAGCGACACATGGGACGAACACCTCCGAATCATGTGTGCATTATTTGACATTTTAGCTAAAGCAAACTTAACTGTGAACCTTGAAAAGAGTGAATTTTGTCATGCTTATGTAGAGTATTTAGGTCATAAAGTAGGTCAAGGTTATGTTACACCCATAATGGCTAAAGTGGAAGCTATTGCAAAGTTCCCGATTCCTACAAACAAGAAAGAATTAATGAGGTTTTTGGGCATGGCTGGGTTTTACAGAAAATTTTGTCCAAATTTTTCCTTAGTAGTTGGTCCACTTACAAATCTTTTACAAAAGAGGGTTAACTTTGAATGGACAAAAGACTGTGAAAAATCCTTTCATAAAATCAAATCTGTCCTTATGAGCAAACCAGTTCTGTCAACTCCAGATTTTTCTAAGCAATTTAAGCTTACTGTTGACGCTAGTGATGTTGGAATCGGGGCAGCTTTGTTTCAAGAACATAGTGATAATGTAGATAGAGTTGTTTCTTATTTTTCAAAGAAACTTACAAAATGTCAACGAAATTATTCTACTATTGAAAAAGAATGCCTTGCTTTGTTGTTAGCTTTACAGCATTTTGATGTTGTTTTGTTTTACAGAAACAAGGTATCAAAAGACGCAGGATATTCCTAGGATTTAAGATATTGCTGCACAAATGTCGGCAGTGCAATTGGTTACTTACTATTCGTGCAGTTTTAAGCTTTAACAGGGTAAAAATTCACTGTCCAGGGTAAAATTCCTAAAATTTTTATCAATTGAGAAAGTGCATAAGATTTGTGCAGCAATTTTATTAATTGTTAGAATATTCACCTTAATATTATACATTGTTTATTCTAAATTAGATAGGATAGGCCCTTGCGCCGATGTGATTTTGTTTATATGATTTAATGCATGACTTTTAGGTTAGATGGTGCCAGTTCTTGGACCTATTTACTCTAACTTTCATAAAAATGTGTAGAGGAAAAATAAAGAAAACTCGATACATCTCGAAACGTGTTCTTATTATTAATGGCAACATTTTGCATTTTTAGATTTGGTATCTGTTAATGTTATTCAAATGAGAGAGAAAGAGAGAGAGAGAGAATAACAACTTTCATGTTTTTTGTGCAATTCCAGGAAGTCGATATACTGGAAGCTATGAAATATGGAAAACAAGTATATCAGGTACGTTTTCATGAATCTTTATTTTTAATTTTATTTCACCTGAAATTATCAGCAATACTTCAATTAATCAAATTCACCCAAGTGGCACAGTGGTTAGAGGTCTACTATAGAGTCGCGAAGTAAGAAATCAATCCTTACGTCGCGGGTTCGAATCCAACTGTTGCACGCGGATGAGACCGAATAAACCGAGGCCCCATTTCGCAGTAGGTGCTGGCACGAAAAAGATCCCTAACTGCTGAAAGTCCCTGAGTGCCGAGCATAGGACAAAATTCGTAGCCCTCGATCGGCAAATGGTGGCGTCTCCAGATGAGTGAATAATTCTCGAGAGGGAAGTTATAGCAACATACAATCAATCAATCAATCAATCATTTAAACAAAAGATCCTGCAGTCAAATTAATTTTTATACATTATTCAGTAGAAAATCAATATAAGAGGGGCTAAGAAAGTTCGTTCGATGATTAAATATTTTAGATGATTTTAAATTACATGTGTAGTATTTTACCACAGAAATGATTTTTCTAGTCTAGCAAAAGCACGTGGTTGTATTTTACATGAATTATAGCAATTCATTTCTACAAGGAGGTCATGGGATTTTTCTTCCATATGAAAATATATATGACTGTAAGACTCCAAAGTACAATGGCTTCGCTAGAGTCCGATTGCTCATTGTCTTTACGGACATCGAAGTCCGATGGCTCGTTTCCAACGCTAAAATGCGATGGTCCGACACGCAAAAGGTCCAATGATGCAGTGGAACAATCAATGTGTATGACATCACGCCAATCGTTGACGCCCTTGTCCTAGCATTTAAAAAGTCGTAAATTCAGTATTTGTCCTCTTATAAAATTTGAATTATTTTGCTTATTGCTACATGTAGCACTTATCAGAGATATTGGAGTTAGTACTCACACATCACTTGACAGATAAGGCCTACTCCTTGCACACTTGTGGATTGAAAGTGAGCTTCTTGAAACCCACCTGAGAGATTTTTGGATACTGTAGTCCTTGCACATTATCCGACTGATTAGGGGTAGTTCAGCACCCAATCAAGATTTCGTTCTCACATACTTTTCAACTATTTAGGGTTAGTCTTATGCACACCTATCCAAAAATGGGAGTTATTCTCTGCATTTGAAATTGTTTTAAATTAAAACAATGGGTTCTTGACATTGCACGGTATTGCATTTTTGCTCAGTAGTACTTTGAGGTCATAAACATTAACTGTTTTCCGCACCATCGGACTTTTTTATGTCATACCATCGTGGTTTGGCGTGACCTTCAGACTTTGGAGTCCCATTGCATTATGGGATCCTACATATATATACTCATCTTAAACGCACTCAAATGACAAAAAAGAGCTCATTTTGTTTGAAAATATTTTTTTTCTTCACAGCTTATCTTGAATCATGTAAAATTGATGAAGTTATATATAAGAAATTAAAGTTAACCATTTTTCAAAAGATTGTTTGTCATATTGAAATTTTTCACTGACTTTGATAAATTTTACATAGTATTTGAAAGGATTTATTAACCAATGTGATTGATATATGTCAAGGATACATGTATGATACACCACTGATTTTTCTGCACAAACATTATCTGTTTCATACTTGCCCAGCTCTTATCATTCAACAAACAGAACGAAAGACAACTAAAACCTTATCAGTAGCTAGATGGACCCTGTGAACCTGAAACATCACAAATATGAAATATTTTATCGTCGTTTTTTCATCCGAAAATGAAAGTACATAATCATTCTATTTGTTTGCTAAGAAGAAATGTATAAAACTAGTCCGTTGACACCAAGCTGCCGTTTACACCATAAAATTATTCAATATTATAAAAATTTCATAATGGTTTGAGAAGATAAACAATTAAAGAAAAATGTGTTTTACACTATTATGCTTCCTGTCAGTTTGTCTCTATATAATTACTACCCAACAGTTTTTGCATAGTGTTCAAAGGATTTATGCAGCTTAAGCATACTATACCGAAATAGTAGCATTCTTAAACTTAGAAAATAAAGCTGTAGTCTGGTCTCAAAGTTTCTGAAAATGATGACCGTAACAAAACATTAAAACTACCGTAATCTCGGTTTTTTCAATGATGTTGGATTACTGTAATATTCCTAATTCGATGTGTGTGTGGTTTTTTTTTTTATTTGCTTCTGCAGAAACAAATATATAGAGTCATATCTTTGTTTCATATTTACAGATATTGCCAATATATATGATATATATGTATACTATAGAACTTGTCGATGTACAGTATACTATAAAAAAAGCTATATTATATACCTTGTAAGCTTGTGCACCCTCAATAAATCAATAAAAAGGCTTGTCAACTTGAAGGATTTCTTGTAGCTGTTTCCTTGTAGCATATCGCTCTTCCCCCAAATTCGAAATAGCTTTCTACGGACCAGTATTGTCCATGGAATGACTGTACAATATCATGAGTTGGCATATCTATAAAACGGAAATTTTCAATACACAAATAAATATGTAATATGCCCTATTGTAAAAATACAAATCACAAGAGTTGGCATAATGTATTAAAATACGTTATTCTTGTAATATCATAGTAATTTTTGAACAGAAAATATTTACTGAAAATTTTTGGGAAAATGGTATAGGAATGTGTCATGTTTGAAATACATGTCAGAGAGAACTAATGCCAACTCCTGTGGTTCAATTAATGATAGTTTACTTTATTAAACCAAATTCAATTTATATCTTTATTGCCTCTGATCTCATCTGGATAAATGCGCTGCTTCCTTCCACTTATTTTTAGCTCACCTGAGCCGAAGGCTCAAGTGAGCTTTTCTGATCAAAATTTGTCCGTTGTCTATCGTCGTTGTGGTTGTTGATGTTTTCGTTGTCGTCGTAAACTTTTCACATTTTCATCTTTTTTCAAGAACCACTGGGCCAATTTCAACCAAACTTGTCACAAAGTATCCTTAGGTAAAGGGGATTCAAATTTTTCAAATAAGGGGCCACTCCCTCTTCCAAGGGGAGATAATTATGAATTACTGGTAGTGAAAAATTAATGGCATTTTCAAAAAATCTTCTTTTCAAGAACAACTGGGCCAAGAAAGATGGAACTCATGTGGATTCATCCTCTGGTAGTGTAGATTCAAATTTATTCAAATCATGACGCCCGGGGCAAGGGTGGAGCCAAAATGACCGATCAAAGTTTTAAATAAGAATATATAGGAAAAATCTTTAAAATTCTTCTTCTCAAGAGCCATTGGGACAGGAAAAGATGATACTCATGTTGAGTAATCCTCAGGTATTGTAGATTCAAGTTTGTTCAAATCATGACCCCGGGGAAAAGGGTGGGGCTAAAATTGCCGAGCAAAGTTTTACATAGGAATGTACAGGAAAATTCTTTAAAATTCTTCTCCTCAAGAACCATTGAGACAAGAAAGATGAAACGGGTGTGAATTTACCCTCAGGTAGTGTAGATTCAAGTTTGTTCAAATTATGACCCCCCGGGGTAGGTTGGGACCATAAAGGCTGATCAAACTTTTACATAGGAATGTATAGAAAAAATCTTTAAAAATATTATTCTCAAGAATCTTTGGGCAAGGAAAGAAAAAAATCATATGGAATCATCTTCAGGTAGTGTAGATACACATTTGTTCAAATCATGACCCCAGGAGAAGGGTGGGCTATAATAGCCGATCAAAGTTTTACATAGGAATTTATAGAAAAAATCCTAAAAATTATTCTTCTCAAGAACCATTGAGACAGGAAAGATGAAACTATCCTCAGATAGTGTAGATTCAAGGTTGTTAAAATCATGACCCCCCGGGGTAGGTTGGGGTCATAATGGCTGATCAAACTTTTACATAGGAATGTATAAGAAAAATCTTAAAAGATCTTCTTCTCAAAAATCATTAGGCTAAGAAAGATAACATTCATATGGAATCATCTTCTGGTTGTGTAGATACAAATTTCTTCAAATCATGACTCCCGGGGTAGGGTAGGACCAAAATGGCCGATCAAAGTTTTACATAGGAATATATAGGAAAAATCTTCAAAAATCTTTTTCTCAATATCCACTGGGCCAGGAAAGAGGAAAATCATGTGGAATCATCCTCAGGTAGTGTAGAATCAAGTTTGTTAAAATTATGAACCCCCGGGGTCAAAATGGGCCAGCCATGCTTAGTTATAAAAAATCATCTTTAGGTAGTATAGATTCTAGTTTGCGCAAATTATGACGCCCTGGGGGGTTGAAATTCAACCCCCCCCCTCCTTACCTCAGTAAACTTTCAGTTCTGATCTGATATATGCTTTTTCCTAGCCAATTGCTAAGGTTAGCGATGTGGCCCCTGGGCCTCTTGTTTGATATATATAACTTTATTGTTGAAATGTTATGAATGGTGGGTTCTTGCTTTTTGTTGCAGCATGGCCAAAGGGGAATATCTGATACTTTGTGAATAAAATATGATATTGAAAAAAGTAAAAATGATTTCTCTAGTTAGAACATTTTAATGCTTGTCAAACTTTTAAAAGTACATTTTATTTGTCACTATCTTTAAAGCAATATGAGCTGCATTTTTGAGAATTTTATTTTGCTGGCAAAATGTGCTATTATGATTAATTTGTATGTAATTTAAACCCTTATGACCAATAAGCTTAAATTAATGTTTAAAATTTTTTCAGAAGAAATATTTCTGTACAACCGAATATACTGTATTATATAAGAAATCATTATTGTTCAGGACGACAATAATTCCCTTTCAAAAAACATTTATAAATGTTTTAATTTTCTGTCATTGAATTAGTAAATTAAAAAATTCCATAAAAATGTATCTAATATTGTTAGATATAGGCCCGTTTTCCAATAAGGTTAAACATAATTCAATAAGGCTTGTGTTTTCTAATGACTGCCTTTTTTGAATGATATATTATACATATAATGACAATTTCCGAACAGAGTTTACTCAGATTTGGGCTACGTTTTATCCATGCATTTGACGATCGCTTTTTTCCCA